TACCTGCTAATGTCACTACTGACCAAACGGTTCTCTGATAACTGCATCCCCTGGTTTCATATAGACAGTTAAAAATGATTTGCGATACGATTATGCCTTGTTCAGCTGCCATGATTCTAAGGTTAGGGTTCAATGTCATTCAATGTTATTTTCTAATACTGTCTCTGCAAGTTGGCATGTTTCCAAAACCATCTCATGGAGCTGATTCAGAAGGCTACCAATGGTTAATAGTACAAAAAAGCTGCAGCATCAACAAAATCACACTGTCATCTCTTTTTCATAGGTCATTAAAGGCTAATTCAGTCTTTCCAGGTTAAAATTCAACGTAATTGGGTTTTTTCAACAAAATTAGAATACTACACAGATGCATAGTATTATTCCTCTCCAGCCCCTTGCTCCCAAAGGAGGTACTTTGATGAAAATAATAAGACTTTACATTCATGTTTTGTCCCCCAGAAGGGGGTAACTACCGCTTCTTTAAGAGCTGGCAACATAAACTCTCACTCAAAAATGTGTTTTACAGATATATTAACTCAGCTAGCTCTAACAGCCAAGAGAGGAAGGGGTCAAAAGATGCAGACTGATCAGCTACAAGCATCATGTCCATATCCCCAGGCCTTCAAAACTGAAAGCACTGAGACATAACTGGACCAAATGATGCACTAGATATTATGTCAAAAGTAGAATACGAGATGACATGAACATGATTTTATCTTCCCAATGTCTTGCAAATTGGTCATAGCAGGCTTTTGGGATTATTAAGGGCAAATAACCTTAATTATTCTGAAGAGCTCTGCTGGATGTCCATTTGAGGATGCAGTAAAGATTACAAAATAAATTTTTTTTGCAGCCTCATCACAAATTAGTAGATATACGCATGTGTCCAGTTGGACAGACATTTTAACTTTCTCTTGGCCTGTACTGATCAAATATACAAATATACAGATAGAACTTTACCTATTGTTTCACTTACTCATTTTAGATCCAGAATCCATTGAGAAACATGTTTTGCACTAAATTGCCGATGAACTACTTAGAAATCTTGCAGCACAGTTGTGCTACTGGATTCCTTTTTTTCGAGTAACCTCAAATACAAAACTGCATGATTTCTTTGCCTTTACTTAATGATTTTGGAAAGCCCTCAGGTGCTAAACACTGAAATCAATACAGTGCCACAGAGACAAACCCAAGACAAACCCAAGCATAAACATGTATCTCAGGAAGGAGAAAAAGGTACCAGTTTCACTTACCTTACCACTGGTTCTGGGATTGTTTCTGTATTTGCTGGCACCTGAACACCTTTTTCCCACTCTTGCCTCCAGGGATCAGCAAGAATATAGTACTCATCCGGGCTCAGCTGGAAAGAATCTGGGATCTTCATTGCTGTTATCAAGTCGGTGCGAAAAACCTGAAGATGAGAGATGAAAAGGACAGTAATGAAATCATTGTCAATGAAAATTTTGAAAGCAGAAACTTTTGCCAAACTTAGAACAGATGAGGGAGTGGAATGGACAAGCTGAAACAGATATGGCCAATAAGATGGCTCCTTACATACATGCTAAGGTGGCATGTCTGAATTCAGCCAATGAGAAGAAAAATCAAGAAAACTGGGATTGAACAGGCAGCTCTGAAGAACTAGAGAACAGTGTCATATCATATCATAGAAGGGCTTGCTTATAAAACTGGGCAATACTGCACTTAATAAGGCTGAAAATGATTTGATATTCACAACAGTGGAAAAGAAGTTACTGAAATTTATTTCTGAGCAAGTGAAGCATTGAACAAGGGAGCTAAATTCCATTGGAGGTAGAGCTAATACCAAGAACATTTACCATTGGAGAAAAAGGACAAGTATTTTGTTGTTGTTGTTCAGATAATGAATGTATGCACCATCATCCACATGACACTAAATGAAATTAGCACCTATTATTGTGATTTTCTTTCCATTGTGCTACTCTTCTCTTGGACATGTTCTTTCCTTGTATTTCCCATGTGCGCAGTCTGAATTCTCAAGTATGTTTCATTTTACTATTCACATATGAAAACACAAACTTTCTCCTCTTAATTTTTAGAAACTATTCTTTTCAAAGTACATTATTGTTAAGGAAAGTACCACTTATACTGAAGAGAAAGATCACAAACACTTTATTCACTAATGACCAGGAACATAGGGGGATCTTTGTATGGCAATATTAGCAAGTAGTCTCCAATTTGTATTCTATAATTAGGGATCCTCTATGATTAGAAACCAATGTATCCTTCAATTTACCCTCATTTCTCCCAGAAATAATTCTGCAACTGCAATTTATAGTGCTGCTTGTAACTTTTGAATTAAATTGTGAGGTGGGGTATCTATGTATAGGATAAGTTAGGGAATGTTTCTTTTCCTTCTTTCCTTCTGAGATTCTTAATTTCATTGTAGGGGTAGAAAAAGAGACTTGCCTGTGACAATCTGGCATAGCATAGTACAATCTAATCTTTGGTAATTGACTGCAAGATGATTTGCAGCTTTGATGTTTATATTCCACCTCTGCACATGACAGTGACATAGAACAAAACAAATAACTCTAGTGACTAGTCTAAGCAATCTAAACTCTCATCTCTCATGTTTTTTCTCCTTTGAAAAGCCCATACTTACCTCCATCGATAAACTATAGGTTTAGACAAATTAGTGGATAATATAAGTGTAAGTCTGTTCAAACATATACCATTTGAATTCCATACATTAATGTTCATTTGTCTTGTTAATATATCTTGAAGAAACTCTCTGAAACAAATGGGAATCCTTTGTCCATAAATATTCTTTTTTTTAATTACTCTTTTGAAGTGCTTTAGAATGTTAAAGAGATAAGTCTTCTTTTTTCCCTTGACTATTCTAAAACTTTGTACTCTGTATGATTTCCTTGGAGGAAATACATACATCCATAAAAAAAAAATATTGCCTGTTGAATAGTGATAAATAAATATAAATTGTGGGACATAGGTACATACTAGATACACCTGTGGATGGGTTTATATACCATAATACACCATTTCCCTAACTCTTTTTTCAAGTTCAAAGACTCACGTGAATTTGATGAACATACGCCACATGCAAGTTAATATATTCATAATATTGTACTTCTTCAGGAAGAGAGAATTTGCACATTAGGGTGAACCTATGACTCTTTTTTCACAAAGTCACAAACTATCCAACTACATTTCAGCCTAGTATGTTGCATCAACCTATTTATATGGTTGGACCATGATTCAGGCTATTAATCCAGGGAAGTGGGTTAAGTGCATAAATTACAGTTCAGTTCTATTCAGGTAAGGCTATCATAGCAGAATGGGCGGTGATTCAGCAATGGAGTATCTGCCAAATAGAATGAAACAGTCCTTGTACTCTCTTCAGACATCAGGCAAACAAAAATAGGTTTAAATAAATAATTAAAAAGGACAAACTGTGGCTACCGAGTAGAATAGACACATTCTTACTTATCCAGAATTTTAAACATATGCAATAATATTTTGATGAAAGTACTCCCCGTTGCCCTTCCCAGACAGAAACCCTGATCAGATGACCTAATTATAGTTTCTTGCAAGACTACATTAAAATTTGACAGAAGTTCCTTTTTTTATATATATAAAAATTTTATTTGGGTTTTCACAAAACATAATACAAGTAAAATTTCTTTTTTTGAGAATAGCATGGTCCCAGGTTATCACTTCTCCATACAGACACAAATTCAATTTCATATTCATCTTTGTGTTCTATTCCATATCTTATTACTATTTTAACATTCCTTTCTAAATTCACACACACACACACACACACACATATTTCTAAGTTTCAATACCTTTCTAGTCATTATATTTATACTTTTGTCTGTCCTGTTTCAATTTCATATTTTCTTTTCTCATTAAACAAAAATTTTCCCTGTAGTTACTAATTGGAGTATGACACCTTTGTATCTTTTAATTTTTATCCATTCAACTCTTATTTAAACTTCACTTTATGCCTTTACAATTATAACATTCAATATAACACATAACTTCCAGTCAAATTCTGCTTGGTACATTCTTAAAATATGCACTAAGTTCTTAAAGAGAATATATATATATAAGAATAATAAATAAAATACTTATTCTATTCCAATTCAGCTCTATCATTAATGTTAGTTATAATCTTTGACATCTTTAACATTTCTTTTCAATAGGGTATCATACTTCTAGGAACACTTATAATATTTCCATAATTTTTCATGTTTCTTTCATATTCCTCTTCACTTAAATTTTTATAACACAATTATAATAATTAAAATGTTCCCCTCCTTTCCTAATTTCATTCTCTCATTCTCTTTATTTCATTTATTTATTAAACATTCCATTCCATTACAATGAGTATTTTATCTATCATTTTAATCACACCTGTTTCATATTTTCAAAGTTCATTTCTATTTCTAAAATAACAATACTATCTTATGTACCCTTGCAGAATCCCCCTTTCAATTAAGTTTTCACCCATTATCTCTGTGTCTTCTAAACAGGCTTAATTCTTGTACGTTTTCCCTGTTTCTCTATGTCCTGTTTCTGTCCTTTATAATTTCTTTTCCTTTCCCTCTTCCTCCTCCTCTTCTCCCTTCCCTTTTCCCCCTTTCCTTTCTTTTCGCCACATTGAAATACTTGGTCATTGTAGATGGCTTCTTCTTTGTCCTGCCCTTCTTGTTCTACAGTCATTTCTTGTTGTTTCTCATAGTTCAGGATCTCCATTTCTAAAAATTGAAATGCGAAGCCAAAAGAACCTCTTCCTTCTTGTGCATTTTCTTTCTGTTTTTTAAGTTCCATTCTCAATTCTTCCAAGACTGATACCATTTTGAAAACTTTTAAACAACCAACCGATTAATTTTAGCCCTTTAGATCCAATAGCCAAAAATCCAAAAATCACCAAGTAATCCAAATAACCCAAAGCTGTTTCTTCTTGCTTTTTTCCACTTTCTCTTCCTGGGGTTCTCTTATTTTGTTTCAGTTAAAATGTATCTTTTAGGAATCTTGTTAAAGTTTCACTGTTAATTCCTTTCACTTCCAGGTGGTCTCCTCCATTTTTCCAGATCCCACCCTTTTGTGTTTTTTTTCCCTTCTTTTAAAAGTTTTTGAGAATCCAGAAATCTTTACTATCCCTTTGACATTTTATTTTCAGCTTAAATACCTGTTAATGTCAAAGTGGATTTTTGCCGGTTTCTTGGTTAAAACTCTTAGTTGTCAATATAGGGAAGAAAAGAAAAAAAACCAAGTCCTTTCCCTTCCCTCTCATTTGCCGCTTCAAAGACTTCTTTGGGAATAATGTTTTTCTTTATAATTCAAATTCCTTGTATTGTTGCTTTTTCAGTTTGATCAGGTCAGCCAAAACTTTCTCTTCTTATCTTCCTCCTGCACATTCTTTTCCGATAGAGTTCTTCTTTGAGATGGCCATTTCTGACCACTGCTGCAACCGCCTTTGGGAAAGGGAGTAATGGCCAGCTGGGGGAGAGAGATGCGACTCTCCTCGACCCTGCTGGCAGTCTCCCCCCTCTTCACCACCTCTATGGGGTGGCTTAGCCCGGAAACCAGCCGGCTCGGGGCACTCCAGCGGTGAACACAGATTTTGGTCTGTCGCCGAAGAAGCTCAAACTGGAAGCCGACAGAAGTTCCTTTCTGAGTTTCTTTCTCTATGGGATACACATTTTATGAATGATTCTCTAGTAGCATCTCCCCCCCACACACACATATACCTCATCTTTCAAGGTCATTCCCACATACAGTACCATTACACTCTCACAGGTAAAACATGTAAACGCTGTATAGTTTGTGCAGGAGATAATGACAGTAAAGGTGAAGATTCCCCTTGCATATATGTACTACTCGTTTCCTGCTCTAGGGGGCAGTGCTCATCTCCATTACAAAGCCGAAGAGCCAGTGCTGTCCGAAGACGTCTCCATGGACATGTACTCCATGGTCAAGATACCTTGACGTACCTTGAGCTAAATGTGATTTTGAGGGGAGAGTAAGTTTATTCACAATAACAAGTCTCTTAAACAGCAAATAAAACCTTTTGATTAGGAAATAACCCGAGAACAGTAATTTTTTTTCCAGCAATCTTGCTTCTTACAGAATGGTCAGTAAGGATCTGGTTCCTTACATGTACAGTAACTGCAATTCTCTGAACAACCATTTGTGGATTTACATACATGGGTTATTATAGGCCTTTGCAAAATCCTGTTTGGGTACTCCCACTGTACATTATGCCAAACCTTTTGATCCAGGAATGAAAATTTAAAAAGAGTATAAATTACAAGCTTTTGCAGGTGACCTGGTATTCATATTAGAGGATCCATTGGAGTCAGCACCTAAACTGATAGAAAAGAAAGAAGAGTATGGGAAAGTATCAGG